CCCCAAAACCCCAAAACCCCAAAACCCCAAAACCCCATTTAGACACAAATTATTGAAACTATCTCTAGAGAGTTTCTATCAGGACTTTGGTGTTGTTGATCAGGTTCAGCTGGAACTTTATCATCTCCTTTAACCCCTCATACGCAGTGTCTAGGACAGTGACGATCTCTAGCTCAGGCTGTTTGAATGGATCCCTTTCTTTGTTGATAAAAGATAGTCTCACTTCATAAGACTTTTTCAGCATTTTCACTTCAAATTTGAATAAACGGGATAGATTTATCAGTTTGGTGATCTTTGCTGCCTTCTCATTTGAGGAATCATAGTCGCATTTTATATAATATCCAGATTCTAGCACTAGGACAATCGGGACATCCTTACTATAATTGGGTTAGGAAAGATCATAATTTCGTGAATGCCCTAATAATGCCAATAGCTTATCAGATATCCTATCTTAGATGGAGGAATTTTAAGAGAATTAGACTGTAAATCAGAAATTTTAACTTTAAATTGTTTAAAAGCAAAACTCAGAATATTGCTATCTTCCTTAGTGACTTACTTTAAAATTTTCAGGAAAAAGTTTTGAGAAACCGGCTTCTGCTCCTTAGCTTCTCAATGATTGAGTTCAAGTATTTCTAACATATCTCCAATTTTTAACTTGGAGATATCCAATGATGACTTCTGTTTCCTATAATTACTGTAGAAGAGCTCGTCTTCTACTTGAGAAATCTTGCAACCATCCTTCTTGAGATAATCAATCAAAGCTTCTTCTGTGAGATCTACAGATATGATTGAAAATTACCATGGAGGTCTTGTTTTGGAGGCTGTGGCTTAGGTTTAGGAGCAGGGATTTCTTTAAACTCTTCCTTCATCGTAGATTCAGGGTGTTGAGAAACTTCTGAGCTTTCTTGGACAGCTTCATCCTGAGAAGATTCTTCTTTATGAACTTCTTCCTCAATGACTTTAGCTTCAGCTTTCTCTTCTTCAGGCTTCAAATCCAGAGAGATCTCATCATTAAAATCATCAGAATTCATCCTTCCCCTCTCACTATCTCTCACCTCTGTCTCTTTTCTCTTATTCTCTACTTTCTCCTGTACCTGCACTTGCACCTTAGCCTCAACTTTCCCCTTCTCTTTCTCTTCAGTCTCTACAGAATCTCCACATAAAATACCTTCATCGTCTTCTTCCTCTGCTTCGTCGTTATCGTCAATCACAAATTTAGCCTATGAACACATCATGGCCCGTTGCCAGAAGACACATTCAGAAATTCAAAAGCGGAAGAATTTTAAGAGAGACCCTCTTTCAGGGTAGATTTTTAGTGGGAATTTTGGGAAACTTTACCTTGCTCTTGGCCTTCTTTTTCTTCTTCTTACTTTTCTTCTCTTCTTCCTTATTCTTAAAAACAGCATCTCCTATTATAGTTGAGAAAGTGGTAGGATAGTATGAAAATTATGTGCTTATGATACAGGGAGCCTCAAATAATCTAGCAACTTGAAATTTTGTTTTATCTTAAAGAAAATGAATCATAAAATAAGAAAAAAATTAAATCAAAATCTACAACAGCTGGGATCAAACCAGGAGTATTAAGGAAGACCAATCAATATAATCTCATCTAACCACACAGAAATCCCAAACTTTACACCTAAATTCTATTAATTTACCTCATTCCCTTAGCCACCACCCAAAACCCTTTCACTTCTCCTCTACCACTCTAATCCCTTCTCATATCCCCTCCTCCCTTTACCCCATAATCTCCCCTCCTCTCCTCAAAATCCCCTGAACCCCCAAAACCCCACAGAACCCCCCTCTGCTCCCTCATACCCTTCTCCCCAGCCCCTCAGAGCCCCCATTAACCTAAATCTCCCTAAGCCCCAGCCATTAACAGCTAAATAGACAATACAGAGCTTTCAGCGGTCAATTTCTACTACATGTTCTTACCAATAGAGCTGATTCCAGAGCCAATGTTATCCTTAATGTATTTTTGAAAGATTGAAGGCTTTTCAGGCTCAGAAGAGGTGGGAGGGGGATTTTTGTCAGACATAGTTATTTTTAAGATTTATAATTCTTTGGGGTTTTGGGGTTTTGGGGTTTTGGGGTTTTGGGGTTTTGGGG